GTCTGCCCCGCGCCCCGGCCCCGTCGTCGTCCCGGAGCCAGGCAGCGAAGGCCTCCGCGGGAAGAGGGGATGCGGACCCCTCAAGCACACGCGCCCGCCGGTCCCCGCCGTTCAGTACCATCCTCTTCACTGGGCAGACTCCGGAAGGGCCGCGACTCCACCTCCGCCTCCTGCGCGGCCTGCAGCCATCTATCGGGAAGCGTCTCCGGAGGCGGCAGCAAGGGCCGCCGGACGAGGACAGCCCAGGGAAACCCTCTCAGCACTAACTCAGCTCCGGCGCTAGCAGCAGAAGTCGAGTCTTTCATAATTGTGCGACCAACTCCGCCGGGTGACTGGCCACAGGGACGCGCCGCGACTCCACCTCCGCCTCCTGCGCGGCCTGCAGCCATCTATCGGGAAGCGTCTCCGGAGGCGGCAGCAAGGGCCGCCGGACGAGGACAGCCCAGGGAAACCCTCTCAGCACTAACTCAGCTCCGGCGCTAGCAGCAGAAGTCGAGTCTTTCATAATTGTGCGACCAACTCCGCCGGGTGACTGGCCACAGGGACGCGCGCATCGGCGTGGTGACCGGGTTGGGTTCGTGTTGAAGCTCCCACCGCGGCCTCCAAGCTGCTCCTGGCGTCCCAAGAGTCGAGGCTGGTCCACAATGCAAAGTCATCTGTGTTTTCCCCCCAAATCATGCTCTTCCTCTAGCTTCTCTGCCTCTGCAGACCTTCCTCGTTTAACATCCTGCGTGTGCAAACGACTCTCTGCACCTTTTCTGTGTACAGTTCTGTACATCTTATGGAGAGAACCTCAGTGTCTGTCTTGGTACAGTACACCTTGTTTTATGATGTTATCCATTACAGTGCTGCATGTAAGACTTGTGCAAATAAAAGCAAAGTCACCAAGTCAAGAGTTTCCTTTGCTCATTTCTTTGTTCTGAACGTTGTAACGTACGCACGAAATACACTTCCTCATTTAGCGACTGCTCAGGACGAACTCGCTAGAGTGTCTGTAAAAATTCCTCTGGTTTGAGCAGACACACACAACACATTCCAGGTCTGACACGAGCCCACCTTTCCTTTCACACCGCCCACACTGGTTATTAGAGTTTACCAAACGTTACTCTTCCCTGTCTGCGAATCAGTTCAACTTTTTAAAAACTGCTTTTCACACATCACCTTTCTGAGACTAGGAGGTTTCTCAGTATGTCCGTCTGGGATCTGACTAATAAAAAGAGCATTCCCGGAGAATAGCTGACACATGATAACCTGCACTTTTGAGTGTGTGTGTGTACACACGCATGTGTACTGGAGATTGAACCAAGGGTTCTGTGATACATTCCCAGCCCTCCTTTTTATTTTAAGACAGGGTCTAAGTCTCCTAAGTTGCCCAAGTTGGTCTCAAACTTGTGAACCTGCTGCCTCAGCTTCCCAGAGGGCTGGGATTACAGGCGTGCTCCACCAGGTGCAGCACCTGCATATATTCAAGTGTACATTTGGGTAACTTTTAACATACACCCATGCAGTCATCACCACAATCGAGATAGTGAACACATTCCCATCACCTTTTACAATCTCTCCATTGTGTCCCTCCCCATCACATCCCTTAGCAGTGGCAGCTGTCCAGTGGTGTCCACAGATCATCGGTTCAAATACTTTCCCACACAAACTCAAGCCTGCAGCACTAAACTCTTTCATACAAAATGTCATCATGTTTGCCTACACCACACACACATATCACTTTGTATACTTGGAATTATCCCTAGGTTACATCTAATACCTAAGAGAATGTATAACATGTCAATAGTCATTAAACTGTATTTTTAGAGAATATGATAAGAGAAAAAGTCTGTATACATGCAATATTTTCCCCACACATTTTCCATCTTTGGTTTGTTGATCCACATTGTGGAACCTGGGGACTGGGAAGTCCTACTCCCTGACTGGCTTTCTGTGACTACTGGTTAGTTTGTACATGCTAAGGTGTATGGATGGGAATCACACAGTAAGTACATACTTTAGGCTGGGCCTGGCTTTTTTCACCCTGCCTAATTATTACCTCTCAAACATTATGACTCATACACAAATCACTGAAGCAGGATCTTTTCTCCAACAGACTGAGCCAACCATATGTTTCCCTAGAGCTTTGGCCATGCTTGTAAACAATCTTCAGGCGATTTTCAGGAAGTAAGTGTTCCTTCCCTATCTGGTAACTCTGGCAGAACCAAAGTTTTAAACTGTTTTAAAATATGGAGCATTGATGGGAGAGGAGGGGAATGGGAAAAACAAAAAACAAAAAAAGAAGAAGCAAAATATATCAGGTACAGGTACGAATTCCCTATGATGAATGTCACTGTGTGTATCGCAAATGTACTAATAAAATTTAAAACAAATAAAATACAGGGTACAGTACAGGGCAATAACGCAAGAGAAAGATAAAAGATATGTATAGGAAAGGAAGAAGTCGAGTTATCATTATTTGCAGATGACATGATTCTCTACATAGAAGATCCAAAAAATTCCACCAAAAGACTCCTAGAATTAATAACCAAATTCACTGATGTAGCAGGATATGATATCAACACAAAAATCAATAGCATTTCTATACACCAATAATGAGCTCACTGAGAAAGAAATTAAGAAAATAATACCATTCATGACCGCATTAAGAAAAAATTAATATGGAATCAGAGGAGACCCAGAATAACAAAAGCGACTCTGGGTAACAAGACCAAAGCAGAAGGCATCATAATCCCAGATTTCAAATCAAACTACAAAGTGACAATGATTAAAAAAAAAAAGGTTTAAAAAACAAAACAAAACAAAAAAAAGCCCCAAAGTGACAATGATAAAAACAGTAATGGTATTGGCAATAAAAAAGATATGTGAACCAAAGGAACAGAATACAAAATGCAGCTACAACCCCAAATTCATGCAGCTGTCTGATCTTAACAAAGGGGCCAAAAACATACACTGAAGAAAAAAAATCACGTCTTTAAGAAACGGTGCTACAGCCCGGAATGGTGGTGCACTCCTGTAATCACAACACTCAGGAGACTGAGGCAGGAAGATCTCCATGCATTTGAAGCTAGCCTGGGCTCCATAGTGAGTCCAAGGCCAGCCTGAACTGCAATGGGAGATGCCATCTATAAATAAATAAATAGTGCTGGGAAAACTGGTTATCCACACTAAGAACATTGAATCTAGACCCATAGCTCTCATAATGTGCTAAACTACAATCAAAACTAGATCAAAGATCTAAATGTGGAAACAAAAACATTGAATCTGCTCCAAGATGAAATACGTAAAACTCTTCAAAACATAGTCGTAGACAAGTACTTTCTAAATAAAACCTAGTTGCAAAACCAATAGTATCAAGAACCAGCGAATGGGATCATATCAAATTAAAAACTTCTGCACAGCACAGGAAACAAGCAGCAGAAGGTAGAGATAACCTCCAGAATGGGGAAAAAAAAAATTCCCACATAGAACTTGGACAGAAGACTAATAGCTAGAATATACTGAGAATTCGAAAAAAATTCAAACCCCTAAAATAAAAGACCGAATCAAAACTGGGCAACTAAAATAAAGAGACACTTCTCAGAATAAATAACAAATGGCCAATAAATATTGTATTGTATATGAAAAAAATCTTCAACATCACTGGCTATTAGAGAAACAAAAACTGAAACAACCCTAAAATTCCATCCTACTCCAGAAAGACTAGCTATCATAAAAATAAATCAAATTATAACAAATGCTAGCAAGACCTTGGGGATAGAGAACCACCCATCTATATAATTGGTGGGACTGTAAATTAGGGAAATCGGTATGGAGGTTCCTCACAAAACTAATGCTAGGAATTTTGGTTGATTCAGCTATTCTTTTGGGTATCTTGCCAAAAGGGTTAGGACATCACATTTCAGTGGTATGTGCATACCTGTGTTTATAGAAGCACAATTCCTAATAGGTAAATCTTGGAAGTGTCCTACATATCTTCCATCAACAGAAGGACGAGGAAGACCAAGGAAATATCTTTATGCACAGTGGAGAGTGCTACTCTCCCATCTAGAAGGATAAACGAGTCATTTGTAGGAAAACAGACACACCTCGAGACCATCATGTTAAGTGAAATAAATCAGACACGCATGCATGAGCTTAAGTATCTCCTAGAAGTATCTCTTAGATAAGAAATCCAAAACATAAATAAATAGCAACATAAAAGAGAGATAACGGGAAACGAGGACAGAAATCTTTTGCAAAAGGAGAGGGGACTGAGGGATGAAAGGAGGGCGGGAGACAAGGGGCTGAGGGAAAGAGCTGAGCTGTGTTACTTACGAGCACCAACTCCCAGGAGGAACTGTGACCATCACGCACCGCAGACATGGACTAACAAACAGAAAAACTGAGAAAAACCTGTGGCCTAGTAGATTGCCAGCCCTGAGGGGCAGGGATCTGGGATAATTTATGCATGCATTTAATGAGTGTTTATCTTCTTGATTTCAGCTGGGCCTACACATCCCCTGCCTTTGGGCAATTTATACTCCAGAACGCAGACAAGCCGGAGAATCAAAACACTGTGAGAATAAGGGTACTTTGCTCCCTGGAACTTGCTCTGCTCTTTTTGGGCCCACAGCAAAGGATTCACTCCTTTCTTCTGGGTGGTGCAGAAATAAAGCAAGAGGGGCTCCAGACATTTAATCTTCAGAATTCTGGTAAACTGGAGCAAATGTTTTATATGTTGAAAATAAGAGAACACGGTTCTTCCCTAATGGAACGAATCCAAATAAATTCCTTAATTTTCAGATGACCAGACAGCCTTAACGTGTGTATGTCAAGCAGTCATTCTGAAGAATGAATTGGTTTCCCCTCCAAATACGCCCGCTGAACGTCTAGAATACGGCAGGAGTGGGTGTCGTCGAGGCCGGGCAAGGATGAGGGTGGACAAAGCCAGCGTTTCAGTGTTTGCTGCGTTCTTCTTGCACCTGCGCCCTCCGGCTCTTTCCGGTCCGGCGATGGCGTCACACCGCTCATCCCCCATCCCTCGCCCTTGCCCAGTTACTTGCAATCCAGCAAACATTTAGTATAGCACTGTGTTGAAAGCACTAGGCAAAGTGGGATTGGATTAGCACATTGAGAGGAGGGGTCCCGCAGCAACTCTTCACTTCTCCGGCAGCGTTCAGTCTAGCGCGCACGATCACCCTCCAAGAAATGAGAACAGTTTCTCTTTTATGCACGGAGCCGAGATGACTTCCTGTGGCGTGATTGGATGTATTGTCTCCCCAGGTCTCTGTGTGGAGGCCTAGTCCTCAGGGTGGCAGCGCTGGAACGCGGGACCTGGTGTGAATCCTTCTGGAACTGAGGACACAGCCTTCAGAAGGGCTTGCTGATCTAGTGCTCCAAAGAGTAACCTGACATCGAAAGCCTGAGCCTGACCCAACTCTCTCTCTCTGGCTTCCTGTATCAAAATGTGACCTCCTGCTCCCCCACCGGCTCCTGCCATTGCCACCTACCACAGCTGAGAAAGCTCCCCCAGCACCCATCCAGTGCCAGCCCTGCCCCTCGAGTCTCCAGCACTGTGAGCTAGGCCAGGGCCCAGCTCCTTGGTAGACTGCACTAGGCATGAGCAAGGGTCTGGGCCCCACCGCCAGCACCAAAGCAGAACAGAAGGAAACACCCAGCCAGGCCTAGTGGCTCAGTCCTGTAATCCCAGCCCTTGGGAGGCAAAAGCAGGAGGACTGCCTTGAGTTTGAGACCAGCCTGGGTCACAGTGAGTTCAAGGCCAGCCTGAACTACATAGCGAGACCCTGTCTCAAAAAAAGAAAAAAGAAGGAACTATCAAGCAAACGAAACCTCTTTCCTGCCTCAGGCAGCTGCCTCATCTAGCTCCCTGTAGTAGTGATCCACAGCATACCTGCCACGTTAAAATGTCGTGGGGAGCCTGCCGGTGAGAAGAACACATCTAACACACTCCAGAGGGGCCAGTAGCAAAAGCAACAGAAAAGGTTGGGAATTGCTGGTCCTGGGGGATAGGGGTGTTGATTGCTGCATCAGCCGCCTCCACAGCCCCCTGGGTGCATCGCAGTCCCCTTTCCTGACTCCTTTGTGCACACTCTCACCCGGAAAGGCTGACGGATACCATCAGGGGCTGTTGTAGAAATGACGGGGATATAAAGAGCCAAGTTAGGTGGAAAGAATATAGGCCGTCTGACAGGGCTGGGCCCTCCGGAGTCGGTGCAGAAGACCAGAACACATCACAACTGCCCACTGAAGGTCAGGCCTCAAGGTAAAGATGAAAGAAAGACCTACATGCCTGTGAGGGATACACAAAGGCTTCAGTGCCACCCTTCTGAGATCCATGAATGAACCATTATCGCGTTAAGGGTGGGCCACCTTTTCCTACCCACTATGAGTGCAGCTAAGACTAAAACTATGGATTATGGGTCAAGGTGAATGATGCCATCCGCGGGTGTTTGCTACATGACCTGCTTCCCCATTGGATCAATATTATCTAAATAACTACAATCCTGTAATCCTATTGGTTGAACACAGTTTTGTGCCCACCCCTTGATTTTGCTCTATAAAATCTCTCCTGTAAGTGGAATCCACAACCCATTTTCTAGGAGCCCTCCTGTCCCTCTCAGGAGCGGTTTCTCTCTCAGTAAAATTCTCTACTCTTAACTTCCACTGTTCCTCAGAACCCATTCTCCAGTTTTGGAGAACGCAGACTCAGTGTATCAAACATCTAATAGGCTTGGGAGTTACATTTATTCCCCCTATATCAACAGTGCAGGAAATGTATGGTTTTGGAGGTGACACTAGGGACTGAACCTGGAACCTTCACACTGTGTGATACCTCTGGCCCTTTTAAAATTTTATTCTGAGATTGGATCTCACTAAGTCAGTAAGTTGCACAGGTGGGCTTGGACTTTGGCTCTTCCTGCCTCAGCCTTCCAGAGTGCTAGGATTGTATGTGTATACCACAAAGCCTAGATAAACATGACCTTATGACAGTACCCCAGTTGTGCTCCTTATTTCCCCAAATAGTTGAAAACTTATACATACACAAAAACCTAATCACAATATAGGGACCTTATTATCTATTGCCCCAGATTAGTGGCAACCAAGTTGTCTTGCATGGGTGATGCTTAAACAAACTGTGTTACACCCGCCAGTGAAATATCACTCGGCAACGTAAAGGAAGCAGCTTCCAGGCCACACAAAGACACAGAAGAACAGTAAATGCACATGGTTAAATGAGAGAAGCCAAACTGAAAAGCTACATGCATCATGGTTTCAGCTGTGTGGCATTCTGGAAAAGGCATTAGTATGACAACAGAAAGCTCAGTGGTTTCCAGGCAGGGAGAGATGAACAGATGCAACACAGGGTATTTTTGAGGCAGGTGAACTCCTTTTGTTTGTTTGTTTTTGTGAGACAGGGTCTCATCATGCAGCCCCGGCTGGCCCTGAATTCAGTGACTTTTCTGAGTCTGGGATTGTCACCACGTACCACCACTCCCGGCTCCAGGTAGTGAAACTCCCTCTGAAGAGTTCAGGACAGGCTGCCCTGAGATCTGCTGCTTTGGTTTAAGGTTTAGTTTGAGCTCGAGGCACCTGGAAAACAGCAGGTGCAGAAGGACACTCTGACATCCCCTCTTCTTCCTGAAAGCAGACAAAATTACATGAGAGAGATGCCCTCCCCACGCCGGGAAGGAAAGGATGGCCTCAGCAGGAGATCCAGGGAGCTGAGGCCCAGAGAAGCCTCCTCACCTACCCCTTTCCCTGTCACTTTCCCACAGTGCCACTCACCAGTCCACCTCGTACATAAGACTTACTCTTTGGTTCTTCATTTTTCTTGCCAAGGCTCCCAGGTGCATGTAAATAAAATTGCTTACAATTTGTTAGTCCTAACCAGAGACTCTAGAAAGGTAGGGGTTATTGATTTATTTATATTTGCAGTACTAGGGATTGAACTCAGAGCCTTCACATTAATCTATATGCCCTTCTCTTTCTAAGAATTTTCTTTGGAAACAGGTTCTTTCTAAGTCATCAAATTGCCCAAGCCAGGCTTCAACTTGAGATCCTCCTGCCTCTGCCTTCCAGAGGGCTAGGATTACAGGTACCACCACGTCTGGTCTGTTTTGGTTATTTACATTAATATGACGTATCAGTTGTAACAAATGTGCCACAGTAATGCAAGCTGTAGATAGCGGGGGAAATGAGCGGGGGAGGGGTGTAGGACGTGAGAAAGAGATTAAGGGGCACTTTTCTGTTCCTTATTTTTGCAAATGTAAAACTCATGCAAAAATAAAGACTTTAACCAGGCATGGTGATGCCTGCCTGTAATCCCAGCACTCCGGGAGGCTGAGGCAGGAGGATCAAAAATTCCAGCCTAAACTGTGCATTTTAGCAACTTAGCAAGACTTTGTATCAAAACAAAATTTAAAAGCGGGTGGGGGCATAGCTCAGTGGCACAGCGCGTCTAGCATACTGGAGGCCCTGGACTTAGTCCTCAGTCCTGTGGGATGTGGAGCCAGAAAGGATGATAACCAAGAATTACAATAAAAACTTGGTTGATACAGGAAATATCAGTGCTTATTCCATCATTTTTTCTTTGTTTTTATAATTCAGTTTGGTTAACAAGTATATACAACATACATGTCCTTTTTTTTTTTTTTTTTTTTTTTTTTTTTTTTTTTTTTTTGGTACCAGGAATCAAACACAGGTTCTTGTGCTTGCCAGGCAGGCACTGTGCTGCTGAGCTACATCCCCAGCGCTCAACAACACAGGCTATTACATTCTGTTTTAAAAACCCAGAAATATACTTTACTGGTTTAACTCATGAACAACCACAGCAGGGAGGTGGCAACTGAAATCATTTTATTTTTATTTATTTTTGCAATGGCTGCTACCTCTAAATTATAATCCCAGACCCAAAGCATAAAATAGTTTTTTTTGAGCTAGGATCTCACTGGGTAGTTCAGCCTGCCTCAGACTCACTATGTAACTCAGGCTGGCCTTGAATTCCTGGTGATCCTCCTGCCTCAGTCTCCCAAGGGCTGGGATTACAAACTTGTACCACCACGCCAGCTCTAGCAATTATTTTAATTAATTAAATTTTTTTCTGGATTTTTTTTTTTTTTTTTGAGGCAGGATCTCACTATGTAGTTGAGACCGACCTGGAACTCACTATGTAGCCCATGCTGGTCTCAAACTCACAGCGATCCTCCTGCCTCAGCCTCCCGAGTGCTGGGATTACAGGCGCACGCCCAGCGTTTAGCAGTTATTTAAAATGTTAGAAGGTTCACTGAAATTTTAACGTATTGAATAAGAAAGAGGCTTAATTTTAACTTAGAAAATATGTTCTTAATTTTACCTTTTTATGATTATGATTTTATTTTATTTTTTGATGCTGGGGATTGAATTTAGGGCCTTGTACATGCTAAGTATGTACTCTGCCATGGAGGTAAACTTCTAGCCCAGAAAATATATTTTTGGAAACCCATGTTTAAGTTATAGCATAGAATTGAAAAGCACAGTGACTGTTTAAATTTTTTAAAAAAACATATTACAGTAAAAGACACATTGCCATGTATCTCCTCCAAAATCCTGCCTCTTGCTTCGAACACACCTATCCCGTTGTCCTTCCTGCTCTCTGAAGCAGCTCCGGAGTCCTCTCTCCTGAGGGTCTGTGGTTGTTCTGCAGTGGCTGCCTGGATATCCTGAGTTAATGCAAAACCTTTCTTTCATGCTCATCACCACTTTGGGATTTCGAAGTGCCGGATCCACTGAACCTGGTGAATGAGGACATGGAGTCATGTTTTTATTTGCCAGAAACCGCGGTACCGGAAACATCCTGTGACACAGTGCAGGCCCATTTCTCGGGCGGTTTTCTGTGCCCACCTTTTCACCAATGCTCTGCTGCGCCCTTATAGTACTGAGAGCTCACTGTAGTGTGTCTGGGTACAAACTCGGTTCGCGCACTTCCATCATCGTCAAAAACAAAAACACCTTACTATTAGCTATTGATTAAAGGACTTTTTTTCCACAGGAAGAAAACTGAATGATTTCCACTGAGAACCCAGAATCTTGGTCGCAGGACCACAACCGTAGGCCCAAGTTTTCTCTCCCATGATGAGATTTCTTTAAAAAGCTGAGACCTACAACTCCAATGAAATAGACAAACTTTCATATTAATGGGTTGCTCCTGATGTACAACTTACAGCACATTTTAAAACATACCCTTCTCTCCACCATAGCTCACAACTGACGGCACGAACAAGTTTAAACTTGTCACACACTGTTACTGAGGATTAATGTTCTACTCTCCTATGAATAATCTTTTAGCGCATTCACTGCATTATTTTTTAATCGCGCCTCGTGTAATTGAAGCGGCCTAAAAGCACTTCGGTTTGTGAATGGCTGCAGTCACAGTAGCCAGGCCTTGTAACTTCTTCTCACGCTTCTTCGACACACGTTTCGCAGACCCTGAGGATACAGAGGTTTCTGTTCAGGGAGCTAAGAGCAGGACCCGCTGTAGCGCGATCTCACTCTACATCGCACAGCTGTCCGTCGCGGGGCGGCCGCTGCGTCCCGGACGCTGCCCTGCTCACTTACACCTGTGATTAGCTCGTTAAGTCCTCTCCCTGCTGGGAGCCAGACCGCTGTCACCTCCGCGATGCCGAGGCGGACGTCGCAGGCAGATTTTCAATCGTGCCGGTCTAATTCCAGAGCTTGTCCTTCGGCCTTATGCCCTTCCGCTTCACGTGACGGAAAGGCACAACCGAGCAATGCCGCTAACAACAGCACACGGATTATATAGGACTCTGGCTTTCACGATCTGGGGCGCCGCCTGTTTAATCAGCGAATCGAAGCTCTCCGCTAACGTCACCAGGGCCGGCGTGTGGGCTCGTGCGAGGTTTCCGCACTAATCACGCCTCTGACTTCCTCGGAAGGAACGGGAGAGGGACGCCGCTCCCCAAAACTGGAAAGCAAAGACTGACGACGCTGGCGAGTAAGGACGACCAAAATCGGGGAGACCAGCAAAACAAAAGAGTAACACAGGAAGGGCCCGTTTTATGTAACCTTCTCCGTCGTCGCTCAAAATGTTTGCCCAGCCGTTACACAAGCCCTGGTTTGTAAACACAGGGGTGATTAAACCAGTTCCAGTGAATTTCGCTGTACTTTGGATAGAGGATTAGTGGACTTTTTTTTTTCTCTTAGACACTCTGAAAAGCATTAACCTTGGTCACAAGTGAAAGCTTATAAAAATGCCAGCTAAGAATATCTGGGATGTCTCAAATATTAATCTGTAACACCAGTACCTCAGTAGAGTGCCTAGCATATCATAAATTTTGAAGAATTATTTCTTGAACATTGAGAAAATGAAATCAGTCTTCTTCAGATGGGTATACTAATTAGTATACAACTAGGATATTTTCATAACCTTTCATTTTAAACTTATTTTTATGTGCACACGTTCGCAGCACATAATGATTGTATTCATCGTGGATAATTTTTTCTTTAGCCCTAGAATTATATTTAAAGAGGGAGAAGAAAGGTCTCCTCCTAAAAGCTTGTTTTTTATTGGCAGTGCTGAGGATCGAACCCGGGACCTTTCACATCACTGAGTTACATCCCTCTGTGGCCAGCTAGATCCAGGGAAAAAACTGACAGCAAACAGCAGTAACCCAGAGAGAAATCCCCCTTTGAATTCAGCAAAGCCCTGTGTTGACGTCATGGCTGGATTGCAGGGACTTTCCCAAAGCAAATGTAAGTGTACACTGAAGGGATTTCTTTGGCTGGATGGAGAATGTATAGGTGTCTAAGACTAGATACATCAAAATGTGATAAACAACAGTATTTTGCTAATTGTAATTTAATTAATGTTAATGACACAGCTCTCCTTAAACCACTGCGTTCAACTCTTCCCTGAAAAAGTGTGGGGGGGGAGCTAATGTCATGTACGTATACCTTTAATCCTTAAATCTCAGTCTGAGGAAAGACTTAGGCCACTTAAAACCGAGGGATGAGAAATCAGATCTGCATCCATGAAAGGTTTTCGATGTTAGGAATCATGAGATTGTGCTATTGACTTTAGTTTTCACTGTCCATTTTTCAAATTATTAATTGGTGGTTCTGTGACTTGCTATTTATTCACACTGACACATTAATGTTTTTGAGCAAATTCAACTAATAAAATATATACAAAAGTAAATCGGTCCAAATTTGATTATCTGCTTTGACTCCTAAGCAGTTTGATAGTTATTCTGGACTTTCTAAAAAAAAAAAAAAAAGTTTCAGGGCTGGGGGATTTAGCTCAGTGGTTCTGCCGCCTGTCTTGCAAGCACAAGGACATGAGTTTGATCCCCAGTACCAATAAACAAACAAACAAACAATAAATAAATAATAGTTTCTTTACATGATATATTAATAAAAAATTAAAATAAGAGACGAGGTGTGGGGATACACACCTGAAATCCCAGCACTCTGGGAGGCTGAGGCAGGAGGATCACAAATTTGAGTCCAGCCTGGGAAAGTTAATGACTTAGTGAGATCCTGTCTCAAAATTAAAAAAAAAAAAGTCTTGGAATTCAGCTTAGAGTGAAGGCCCTGGGTTCAGATCCCTAGTATGACTGAATAATAAGTGGGAAGAGAAAGAAGGAAAGAAAGAAAAGAAAAAGGAAGGAAGGAAGTATCAAAGGAAGAAAGGAAGGAAGAGAGGGTACTCAGGAAAAGATCTGGGGCCAGGGATGTGGTCAGTAGTAAAATGCATCAATCTCCAGCACACACCCCCAAATCTGATATTGGATATAATTATTTCTAGGGTATGTTAACACTGTTAACATAGATCTTTGAACTTATTAGCAATGTATCAAGATTCTTAGCATTGTAAGGTTAGCTAACAGATATCCTACAGTGCAAACTAAACAACATCAACATGGAGTTGGTTCTTTGTGTGTTTCTGTGTGTGGGAATTTGGAAGATTGTTTTGTCATTCTTAAGAGATTTTCATCTTTTTTCAGGCTCTGAGAGGGGATAATGTTCAGGCGCTAATCAGCCTAATGCACTGCAGGATCACACAGGCCAATTACATAAAATCTGAGTAAAACTGGGCCAGGGATTTAGCTCAGTGATTCTGCTGCCTGCTTTGCAAGCGCAACCAAGGTCCTGAGTTTGATCCCCAGTACTTAAAAAAAAAAAAATCTAAGTAAAACTAAAACATGTAAACAACAAATAAAAAAGCAGACAGTGAATTGAGAATTGGAATAATTTGCTCTGTGCTTGGAATAGTATGAAACACAAGTCCTTAAAACCTAATGATTACAAATGTAGCTAAGTAAAGAGTAAAACATAAGAAGACGCAGATAAAAGGTGAACTGAACGCACACCGAGTGTGTTAACGCTCATTTTTTTTTTTTTTTTTTTTTTTTTT